GCTTGCAGGACTGGCCTAGGGTAATTTTTAGGGGGGTTTTAATTATATTTTAAATTCGACAAATATTTAATATTCTTTTTAATTAATTTTAAATTTGTATTGTTTTGTATGTATTTTAAATAGATTGTCAGCCGCCCTGAGTCCTACGGGAGAAGGGCGGGATATAAATTCAAATATAAATAAATAAATAAATAAAAATACATACATAAGAATTGTCATTTGCATTCTTTTAGAGAGTTGTTGAGGCCACTTGGAGGTTTGTCTGTGTCCTCATGGTCACCCGAGTAGTGCAAATGGGTATGTTGTGCAGTGGTACTTTCTGCTGTTTGTTTTCTGCCCTGTGTCCCTTCTGTGGGGGATGAGTCTGTGTTGTCTGCATCTCAAACTGAAGCGGAAATGGCACCTTTGGGACAACCATGACCTGGATGACTGAGAATCTCCATAGACATTTAGCTATGCACTTTGGCATGAACATTCTTTGAATGGTGCGAGAGTATGAACGGATTTCCAGAAAAAAAAATGCAGATAACAGGAACCATTTGCACTTCAGTTTGAAATGCAGACAACACAGACTCATCCCCAGCAGCCTGCACCATTTTTTAACAGTGAAGGGACACAGGCAGAAAACATATGGCAGAAAGCACAGCTCCACAACACAGTTCTTTCAGCAGTTTCAAGAAGACTCCACACCCTATTACTCGGGTGACACTGAGGATACAGACAAACTTCCAAGTGGCCTCAATGACTCTCTAAATGAATGCAAATGACCGGCTGGCTGATAGGAATATAAATCTTTCCATTCCCCACCATCCAGTCAGAGCTGAGGAAGCTTCTTGGATGAAAAGCGAAATGTCTTCAAAGAAAACCAAAAAAGTTTCAGTTGCCTGTTGAAAAAGCACCTGTGGGATATGATAGTATACTAATACTACTAATAATGCTATGCTACATATGCTACGCTAGGCTAGGCTAGGCTATACTATATGGATAAAATGCTATACTATATGGATAAAATTAATTAATATCGTATCTTTAGCAAGAAAGACAGGAAGAATTAGAAAACAAATATTTATTATGGATTTTAATTAAAAATATAGGACAATATATTGGTTTATGGTCTTGGGAATATTGTAAAGGAATTTTGTATCAAAATTTAGAATGAATTGAAAAAGTTTATGTTGTAAACTGTTATAAGCCTGCTTATAAGACCGGCAGTTTGTGTGCTCTGCTCATAGAACGTGTTACCGGTCTACCCGCCCCAATTGACCATATATGGTGATTTATTAGTTGTAAAGATTTGATCAATGAATTAAATAAAACATAATCAACAAGGAAGATGTCCTATGATAACATTACTTTGTTACGAATGCTGTTTATCCCTATTTTTCTTGGTTCAAATCAAATTAATTGTGTGTCTTCTTGCTGCTTGTATTTCTGTGTGATTCTAATCCTTAATCCAACATGAAATATCTTGAAAGCATTCCTAACATTGTATTTTTCCTTTTTCTCAGTGTGCAGTGGAATTGGAATAGGTGAACTGAAAGGTGTTCTTGCAGTAAATGAATCCAATATTGATTATTTCAAGAACTGTACCACAATCAATGGGGATCTCACATTTCTGCATGCATCCTTTTTTGGGTAAGTTGCTGATTGGTCAAATATGGAACATAAAACATACTAAAAATATATTACATCATTACTCAAGTATTCAATTATTCTCTTATAGTGATGAATACACAAAAACACCTCCTTTGGATATAAGGAAATTGGATATTTTTCAAACTGTTAAAGAAATCACAGGTTAGTAAGATGTTTTAAATTTATTTATTTATATGAATTTAAGTATAGTAGATGGTCTTTTAAACACTGTTATTTCTATTCATTCATTTAATTTCAAGGGTGCCCAACTCTGCTGCAAATTTTAAGTAGTTTAAAATTTAATTAATTAATTTAGAATGCCACAGCACTTTTCTTTAAAAAAAAGAATAAAGCTGACCATGAAAACAGAACCAAAAAAACCAAAAAGACATAACCACATGCTAGGTTTAGGTTTGGGAGAATAATCAGGTCTTTAACCATTTTTGGAAAGTCAGAAGGATGGGAGAAGCATGGATTTTCAAGTGCAATAGAGTGAATCATTCCACAGGCCAGGAGTCATCACTGAGAAGGCACAATTCCTCAGTCTTATAAAGACACTGCTTAATCAGCAGGACTTAATTAACAGGACCCACCATAGCTGATCTCACTGTCAGGCAGAAACATATGGAGAAGGCAGGCTCTCAAGTAATCTATGCTATGGATAACATTACAGGGAGTAACCAAGACCTTAAATTGCACCCAGAAGTCAACTAGCAGTCATTGTCTATCACAAAACAATGGGGTATATGTCTGTACGATGACATCCCATCACTACTTTCACCACTGCATTCTAGACTAATTGTAGCTTCAGAGTGGTTTTCTCTGAAATAGTACAAATACATTAGTCAAAATTCATGTATGTTCATGGTGGGAAATTTGGTTAAACTTTTTAGATTTAACTATTCTATTCAACTGTGCAAATCACACTCAAGTAAATACTCTCCTGACGTAACATTTGAACATTGAATATTTCTGTATTTAATGTTTTTGCATTTGAAATGTTCATTTGAAACATCTGTTTATTGTAGCTCATCTATTTCAGTGTCTGGCCAGTATACTTCTATAGCCAAGGTTCTTTGTGTGGTAGTCTTTTAACTTGTTTAAAAGACTGATGAACAAGAAATATACATGTTCTTGATAGCTTAGGAAAATTATAGAAATAGAGTGAACATTTGTCCTTTAAAAAAAGATGTTTACCATTTAAGATTCTTTCCAAAATATTAGGCTCCTATAATCATTCCTTTTCTACATTTCTGAAAAGGTCTTATTTAGTAAAAGAAATAAGGATCAGAGTATTCTGCAAAATAATCCAATTTCCAAGATGAATTGCTAAGGAGAACTGGGTTTTCTGTAGTGGCTTGGTCAGCTAAGTTCACAGCCCAGCCTTCACACTGTTTAGCTGATTTGGTTGCCTGCATGTAAACTGTTTATAAAGTAAGGTTTAAAATAACTCTGTGCTGAAGCTTCCTGAAATGCCATGATTCATTTTGATGTTCTCGTAAAAACTGGAAAAGAGAAAATACATTTTCTTTGTCAGAAATACTTTGTAAATGTTGTTTATTTGTTTTAGGGTTTCTATTGATCCAGGTTTGGCCTGAAAATGTCACTGATTTGAGTAGCTTTGAAAATCTGGAAGTAATACGAGGTAGAACAAGACAGTTGTAAGTAGAGCAGCATGCCAAAAAACTGTATAGTTGAGATATTTTAAAAAGACCAGATCATTGTTCTGCCATGGATCAGTTGCTAGTTTGCAGATGAATTGAAAGCACAGTAGAATGTATCAGCACTACTACCGTTGTTCTTTTTTTTCTAAGATGGTTTAAAATATTTAATTTATTCTTCCTTTTGATTGTTCCATCAAAGTTGATGTTTAGAAGAGTGTCCATCAGATTCAGAATGTTAAAGTGATTTGCAAACAAAATAGATGCATAATCTATATTGGATTCTGTATGCTAATTGTGTTGTTTCACTGATTGAAAATATCTTCAGAAATATTTCCACTTAATCTTATTTTAAATAAATAGGTATGATGAAAAATTAGGGTTGTTTCTCTTAACTGATAGCAGACTGGATTTCAGAAATTTTTACTATGTGACCAGCTATTTTGTTTTCCCTCTGAACTGGAATTTGATGTGAAATTTGGAGAACTCCAGTGAAACAAACTGCTTTCTGACCAGACTTGAAAGTATACAATGTAATAATGATTTCTGGGTTATCATTACAGACTACGAAACAAGAAGAAATGGCTTAGAAGCTCTAAAAATACCAGGAGATCAAAGTTCTCTCCCAGTGATAAAAAATGTACCTCAGTTCTTACTATTACTTTTAACTTAACAGAGCTCAATTAAAATAGATCACATATTGTCATTAGACTTTCTGTTGTACCCTGACCACTTACAGAATTAGGTATCACTCTAAATCTAATAATTAATAAATTGTTTGATATATTTTCCTAATCTTTCTACCTTAGAGGTCAATATGCTCTTGCAGTCATCAACCTGAATATCAAATCTTTGGGATTACGGTCTCTCAAGGAAATAAGTGATGGAGATGTAGCCATTTTGAAAAATAGCCACCTTTGCTATGGCAATACATTGGATTGGAATAAACTTTTTGTAACATCAAAACAGAAAATAAAAATAAGCAAAAATGGAAATGAAAGTGAATGTGGTAAGTGTGTATGGTTCATGTAACTATGAATGGTATATATTTCAGAAAATCAGTTTATATTCTTAAATTAAATCATATCACATAGTTCATCATATTAGTATATGCATTTATCTGTACAGTTGAGCTGTACAAGCATTCTTCCTTCAAGGCCTCTGCTGGCTTTTAGAGCATGCATGCACCTGTGCAGAAGCCAGGTCTGCCAGCATTCTCATATCACTTTGCCAACACCCTATGAATCTGCTATGAATCTGCACACACTCTGGTAAAATTGGGAAAGTACTCCCAAATACTTAGGTCAGGATTTTTGAAAGACACAGTCACTTTATTGCTTAAGCAGATAGGTTCAGAGCAGTGTTTTTCAAGCATGGCAATTGTAAGATATGTGGACTTCAAATCTAGCAACATCTTAAAGTTGCTAAATGTGTGAAAGTTGCCATTGTGAAAAAGAAATGTTTATTTGCTGAACATTGTGCAAATAGCTTGCCTTAACTACATAAAGTGCTTGACTTACAATAGTTCATTGAGTGACTGTTCAAAGTTACAACAGCACTGAAAATGTGACTTATGACCGTTTTTCACACTTACGACTGTTGCAGCATCCCCATGGTCACATGATCAAAATTCAGTTGCTTGGCAAATGGCTTATATGTATGACTGTTGCAGTGTCCCGGGGTCATGTGATCACCTTTTACAACCTTCTGACAAGCAAACTCAATGGGGAAGTAATTGAGTAACAACCATGTTACTAAAATAACAACTGCAGTGATTCACTTAACGACTGTGGCAAGAAAGGCTATAAAAGTCACTTAACAAATGTCTTACTTAGCAACAAAAAAATTTGCAATCAATTGTGGCCGTACGTTGAGGACTACATTATGGGCATCCATGCTTTGGTTTGCCTGTTTCCAAGCAACACATCAGGCACTGTTAAGATCCCGGTTTCTGGAGATCTTAGCTTATATGGGTAAAAAAAAAAGTTTTAAACTAATAAATTCCAATTGAGAAATTTCCTAAAGCAATTACATGATATCAAACTGCCATGCTTACTTTATTTCCTTGAATAATATCATGCAATAATGTTGTCATTTTAGAAAACTTTTGTTGCTATTTTATTGTCCTATTTATTTATAAGATTTTACAAATTAATTGGATTTATTTTACTGCTTTGCTGGATTGCCTACCTTAAATCTTTATTTTATTATTTATTTATCAAACAAATTTACATTGCTGCCCAATTCACATATAGATGACTCCAGGCAGCTTACAAACATTTAGAAAAATTCATTGCATAATAAAAATGTATTATGCAATGAATAATACCCACCCACTCCCTTTGGCAGCAACAACACAATCGAATCAGCCATATTTTAATCATATTTTAAATTGAAAGAAAAAAATCTTGGAATATTTAAACAAGGATATTCAGTTTCAGAAGAGCATGGTCAAGTCCAGACTGCTTCACAAAATATTAAAATATAGTCTGTAAAAAGGTAAAGGAGTCCCTGTGGATTTTACTCCACTAATTGTTGCCACCTCCATTTCAAGGCCATTGGTCCAGTGCCATCTGAAGGCATTTCTGCAGTCATGGTTAGCATGATGTCATAGAGCACAGTTACCTTTCCATTGAAGTGGTACTTATTTATCTATTCACATTTGCATTCTTTCGAACTGCTAGGTTGGCAGGAACTGGGGCGAGGATAGGAGTTCACTCCATTGCTTGGCGCTTGGGTCTCAAAGCTGGGCTGCCAGGTTTCCAGCTGGCAAGCCTAGCATCTTAACTGCTGAGTCACTGTACCAGCAAATATAGCCTGTGGGTGTACTTAATTTTCTTGTTTCTGCTACACTCTTTGCTTATCTCTTCCTTCCTTCATTTTTAAGGGAGTCCTCTTTCCTTAATTATTTCCTGCTATTCTTATGAGCAATTAGCTATGTATAAGTGTAAATGGTACAAATGTGAGTTTGTATTCTAGCTCCCAAATGTTCCTATATTCTATCCAGCAAAACAAATTATTTATTGGCAAATCCTATTGGCCTGCCTGTTCAGCTTTATTGTTATCAAATTATTTCTGAGCAATATAATGGCTTGAAAATTACACTTAACTTGCCAAATGCCTGCCAACCACATTTAACACACCATTCAATTTCTTTCTTTCTTTTTTTGGTATCACCTTCCACTGAGATCCATTAGCCAAGGTATTGATAGTGGTCTACCACATCTAGTTCTTCTCCAGATATAAAAAAAATTCTGTGTGCAGCTCTTGTATGTGTCTTTGTAGCTCTCCTGGGTTTTGTGAGAACAGTATCATCTGCAAATCTTAAGTGATTTAAATAGGTGCCATTGATTTGTATTCCACTCTTGCCCAGTCTAGTTTACAAAATACTTTTTCAAGGCAGGGTAAGAAAAAGATAGGTGATATTGTATCACCTAGTCTATGTTGATTTCCACTTTAAGGTCATTAAGGCAAATTGTCGCTATTGTTTTTTAATATATTAATTGTAGTAAGTTTATATAAGCAGTGTCTATGTCTTGATTGAGCAATACATTCATTATTGTTTGCTGGAATACTAAGTCAAACACCTTTTCGTAGTCAATGAAAGCCATGCACAGAAGCATGGTTCACTTGTTGTGCCTTTCAATGACTTGTTGAACAACCTGAATGTGATCCATTGTGCTGTAACCATTTCTGAACCTACCTGCTCTTTTAGCTGTGCATCAATTAATGTTCTCAATATTATTTTTGCTATTATCTTGATGAAAACTAAAAATATGACTGAAAGAAGGCTTATTGGATGATAGTTCTTTAAATCATCTTGGGCCCCTTTCTTGTGTATAAGAATCACTTCAGAATTTTTCCGTGCATGGAGGTATTTTTTTTCTTCTCAAAGGCATCTCAAGTATAGTTTTGCTAGTATCTTGTGTAAACTGTCACCACCAGTTTTTAGGATTTCAACTGTAAGACAATCATTTCCTAAAGCTTTGCCATTTTTCATTGATTAAGTGATACCTGGCATTTCCACTTTTGTGGTTGTTGTTACTTTTGAGTGATCTTGATCTTTGTATAGCTCTGCATAGAATTTTCCAATTATTTCTAACATTTCCTGTCTTGTTCTACACACAGAGCAATCTTCATGTTTTAATGCAAAAACCTTCTTTCTTGTATTTATAAGCTTGCATTTTGCTCTATTAACCCCTTGGTTTTCTTCAATTATCTTTTTCACAAGCTTCATGTTAGATTGACACATTTCTTCTTAGATACATTTCCTTACGATCTTGCAAAGTTTAACATACTCCAGTTTATTAATGAAACTTCCAGTATTCTTCATTGTCTGTTGTTTTTTCATTAAATCAATAGTTTCATCAGAGATTTTTGACTGTACAAATTGTTTTTCCAACAATGCTATAGATATAGCAGATTCACAGACATTTTTAGCTATTTGTTCATTTTAGTCTGTAATGTTCATGTTTTCCAAATCTTGCAATAAAATGAAGTGATTTGATAAATTAATCTCAAATCGTTGCTCTTCTCTAATAATTTATTGCTCTTTATTTTTATTTTTTGTGATGTCTTTATTATTTTCATATGCTCTTTTCAACAGTTACAGAAGACGGAAAAAATAGCATTTCCTCTATCTTTTCTCTAGTTTCACTAAGCAGCTATTTACATTAGGTTTGCTAAATCATGTTTAGTTTTACTTCTGATAAATATCAAGTCCATCAGATTAACAGATTAATTATTACCTAACTATGGCAGGGAAGTAGAGACTAAAAAGCAATAGCAATTGCAATAGCACTTAGACTTATATACCACTCCATGGTGCTTTACAGCACTCTCTGAATAATTTACAAAGTCAGCATATTGCCCCTAACAATCTGGATCCTCATTTTACCAACCTCAGAAGAATGGAAGGCTTAGTCAACCTTGAGTCCATCAGAAGCAAACACCTGTCTGTCGGCAGAGTTAGTCTGCAACACTGCATTCTAAGCACTGCGCCATCATATCTCAAAAGCAATATTTGTAGAGTTAAACATTTATGAGATACTGAACTTTCTACATGTAGCTCACACAATAGGCTACGATGCAAGGATGATTGATCAGTAGACTTATTGCATTTGTGCTGGGAATTGACTGAGTTTTAAGAGGGCAAACACCTTCCATCCTTCTGAGATTGGTATAATGAGGACTCAGATTGTTAGGGTAATATGCAAATGATACTGACATTGTAAAATGCCTAGGAGATGCTATAAAGCACTGTGGGGTGGTATATAAGCCTAGATGCTATTGCTAGGTTAATGCTATTATCACTCTTCCCTAGATGGGTGGTTTTTCTGGATTTTGATAACTGCTTGGATTTTAACAGATGAGAAACAGTAATTGTTTAAATAAATTTAAACTATGCCATGCATATTTCTCCTTCCTGATATATGGATAAACACTTGGTTCTATCTTTTAGTTGCTACAGGACAAGTTTGTCACCCCTTCTGCTCAAACATAGGCTGCTGGGGCCCGGGACCCTTCCAGTGCTTTTCTTGCCGTTATTTTATCCGCCAACAGGAATGTGTAAAACATTGTAACATTTATCAAGGGTAAGAGTTCCATACATCCCATGTAATGAAGAAATGAAATCCTTTCAATTCTACAATAAGGCTTGCACATACTTATGTGAGAAGATGCTTAGTAAGATTTTTGAAATCTTAAGTACTTTTCCTAAATAAAATGTATCATTAAATTCAAATTAAATTTCATCTCAGTAAACATGATTAGGTTTACATGACAAAGTCATTTTGGATCATAATGTAAAATTGATTGTGATCCTTTTTAGATTATCATATATTTTCTTCAACAATGGCCATCAAGAGGACATTCTACAAAATATAGTGCAATCTAAGATTTCCTTTGTGTGATCTAGCATTAGAGACCTCTGAATACTATTCTTCAGTTTCAGAAGGAACTTATATTGTTGGTGTTATCCAACCCCTCCCAAAAAGCCACTAGCCCAGTTGTGCAGAACTTTAATTTCAACAAATTATAGTCATTCAAGCTAATAACTATGATAAAGATTCTAAAAATGAACTACTGTAATGTCAAGCATGCAATGCTAAAATATTTAACATAATTAGTTCCTATAAAAATATTTTTCTTTGTTTTCCTGCTGCTATGGGCTTTTAAAGTTAAATAATCAATTTAGGAAAAACAGAATGAATGCACAGTATGAAACTTTTTAAAGGACTTTATTTAAAGGCAGGTGTTATCTTTCACAAAAAAAGTTTCCTACATATATTGTGTTGACCTAAATAGCAAATTTTGCATCAAATTACAGGTACAGTGTAACCAGTAATAAATAATAAAGTTTATAGCTATTTAAGCCATTTGTTTAAGTTTTCATGTTTTAATCATTCATTAAATGGTTTCAGAAATGAGATAATTTAGCTGTTAACTTATTTTTCATATGTATTTAGGCCACTGCCACTGCATGAAACCTAATTTATCCAAAAATTATGGAAGCCAAAGTGGTTTTAACATAATTATGTTATTCATAGTCCTTTAAATATATATATGCATAAAAAAAAAGCACTTAGTTCTTTTCAACCAGACATACCCTTCTGAGATTCGAACCTGGGCTGTCTGCATGTTAGGCAGACAGATATGGGAGAAAGGAATCTTTTGCCTGTATCAACTCAAACTAGAGCCATCCACAGTATGTATGTTCAAAAAGCAGAGTAGGAGAAGGGGACAGAGAACATCGATTGTTTCACTCTTTCTCGGACACCGGATCCCCGATTATGAAGACGAATTGTACGTCTGTCGGGTCCAAGCTTAGAGCCTTCCCATACAGACCGACTACTTTTGGTTTATTCCAATCTTTATCGATAGGGTCATGAGGGAATTAAGAAACAATCGTTACCAAATTTTGAAATATATATATATATATATATATATATATATATATATATATATATATATATATATATATATATATATATACACACACACACACACACACACACACACACACACACACACACACACACATATATATATATATGTTTTATGTTATTAAACTTTGTATAGTTTAATATACTCCTGGTGTTCACAGTTTGTTTTTGGAAAGATGATCACACCCAGGAGTCACTGTTTTAGTTTTAGTGTTATTAGAAATATATATATATATATAAAACAAGTTTATTTACAATTAAAACACCTAGCTTTCGCCGGCCTCCTGCCGGCTTCATCAGGGTGGCTAACCATCAGTGGGTGGCTGTTTTTATGGGAGTGGTGCCTTTTGCACCCGGCTTCTCGATCTCGTGACCGGGCCCAGATAGTCCTCCTGCTTTGCATTCTTGATTGTTCTTTTGCGAGTTGTTGCGTTCCTGGTTCTCTCTTTCCCACCTCCTCTCTTTCCCTGTTCTACTTGTTCATCGGGAGGGGACGGCACCCCTTCATTTGGGACCTCATCTTGCTGTTCATTAACCTTTTTTCTTTTCCTGACCACTTGCAATCCCACCTTACTTCCCTCCTCCTCCTTCCCTGTAGCGCTGTCTGGCTTCTCTCTCACCCGTGTTCCCACTACTCTCACTACTCCTTCATTCTCCTCCTCCAACCATCTCCTCTCTTGGTTGGAAAAGAACAATCAAGAATGCAAAGCAGGAGGACTATCTGGGCCCGGTCACGAGATCGAGGAGCCGGGTGCAAAAGGCACCACTCCCATAAAAACAGCCACCCACTGATGGTTAGCCACCCTGATGAAGCCGGCAGGAGGCCGGCGAAAGCTAGGTGTTTTAATTGTAAATAAACTTGTTATAGTTTTTATAAATAACACTGAAGACAAACGAGTTTCCTACTATATATATATATATATATATATATATATATATATATATATGTGTGTGTGTGTGTGTGTGTGTGTGTGTGTGTGTGTGTGTGTGTGTGTGTGTATATATATGTGTGTATATATATATATATATGTCTTTGGTTATTTGGGTTTTCTCCCGCGTAAAATTGGAAGTGTCTTGGCGACGTTTCGACGAAGTCACATTCGTCATCTTCAGGCTGGTGTTTTCAGCTTCGTGCTTCTAGGAGTAATGTGTTCCTTCCTTTTAACTGCCAGTGGGGTTTGAACTGATTGGGTGGGAGCTTGGCTGTGTTCTGATTGGGTGGAGGTGTGTTCTGATTGGTTAAGGAGCTTGGCTGTGCTCTGATTGGATGGGGGGTTGGCTGTGCTCTGATTGGATGGGGGAGTGTTCTGTTTGGGTGGGGGCTTTGTTGTGCTC